TGAGCTTGAGGTGGTGATTCAGAGGGACGGGAGGTGAAAAAGGGGTGGAGGAGGGTTGCGTCGAGTCACCTGAAATGACAGCTGTCGGAGGGGAGAGCAGATTTAAAAGGGTTTGCGGAGCGCTATGATAGGCTTGTGAGAATAGAGCGAAGTGATTGGTGGGGAGTGACGCCCCCGATCACTTATTGAGAGGATAGAGAGAGTAGTAACATAGAAATAGTAAATGGATTAGTAAAGACGGTCTTTCTGGTTGAACTTGCGCTGAGCTTCATGTCTGGTTTCAGCCAGTTCCTTCTGGTTGCTTTTCTTGTAGCTAAACTCTCCAATTATGTGTTTAGTTTAGTTTGTGGGTATTACATGTAGAAAAGTTAGCAGTAACCTACTCAAAAAGGTGATTTAAATATGTATTGTCATTGAGGTATAAATACATAATTCAAAACCTGTCTTGGCACCAAGGTCCCCAAAGTCATGTGTGTGTTTCTGTGTGTGTTTTAGCTCCAGCCAGGATTCTGACCTTCAACGGGACAGTGACCACTCCCTGGATGAAGGACATTGTTTTACCGTGCAAGGCTGTTGGAGACCCTCCTCCCACTATCAAGTGGATCAAGGGGAAGTAAGTCATCATGGCCCGTTTCTCATCTATGATCTACGCATCCTCATCACTGCCCAACATTTATAGAATACAACATGTTGAGCTGGGTAAAACATAATTAAACATGAAATGGACAGAAATGCATACAGGTTAAGAGGAGATTGTGTATTTCTGCTCTGGAAAAGTTATGTTGGTCAATCTTTATTTTCTTTTAAAGCTGCATAACCAGATTCAGTTGATCTATTTCACTGTAGAGCTCTCTGTCTGTCTGTACTGCTTTAACCTGTAGCTGTCTGTCTTGATTTTTAATATGTACTTTTTGTTTAATCGTTATTAACTTGTCATTTTAAATATATATAATTTTTTTAACTAACTGTACAAAATGTGTCCAGGGACAACAGATGAAAATAGCCTCTCTATTTTCATAAATTTCATCGATTTCGGGACAGTATGACTGACAGGGGCTTTAGAAATGCAGCTACTTCCTGTCACCATTATTCCTTAACGGAATTGTTGTAAAAGCATGATGAAGATTTTTTAAACTTTATTTAACAACATTTTCCACAACAACATCCAAAAAAAGCACATCCCATCCCACAACACGGCTTTCAGAAAACCAAAAAGTCTAATAGTTACAGGTGCATACAAAAGACAGGATTCAACATATTAAAACTGACATTAAAATATACAATAAATAAAAAAACGAGTTTAATATCAAACTTTATCAACAAATATTAAAATAAAGAAAAGACCTTTGGTAACCAAGTAATAATCCCTGTCTCTGTCTCCAGCACTAACGGCACTCCCACACTCGTCCTTGTGGATGGTCGCCGTAGTGTCCATGGCAACGGCAGCTTCATCATCCGCACGGTGAAAGCAGAGGATTCTGGGAACTACAGCTGCGTTGCCAGCAACAACTGGGGGTCAGACGAGATCACACTCAACCTGCAGGTCCAAGGCAAGTAGAGCGCACATCCAGGAGACATTAATAACCTGTTTTATTCAATTCTATATGTTGGCCCCAAAGGCTTCAGAGCACCAAGGTTTTCTGCCCCCCAAACATTAATTTAGCTACCTAAAGTAAAAATAAAACACAGTGAACAAACACCCTGAACAAATGTCACTGAGTGTTTCCAAACTGCGCTCACCATATTGTTTGTTATGGATAGAAAAGCAGAAAAAGGAGGCGGTTTAAATCTGAATTTTAACCAGGAAGTTATCTTTGTTTTTCCTCAGTGCCTCCTGACCAGCCACGCCTCACTGTTACCAAGACAACCACCACATCAATCACGTTGTCATGGATACCTGGAGACAACGGAGGAAGCTCCATCAGAGGTGAGAGACACACAGAGATAGTTTGGTAGAGTTAGTCTGTTTCATAATTGTAAATGTTATGTCAGTATATTTGAAATTAATAGGTTAGCAACGTTAGCTAGCTAGCTTACAGCTCTTCCAGAACATCAAAATGAATCGTGTGATCCGTTGTTAAAGGTCTCCTATCATGCAAAATGCACTTTTTGATGTCTTTTATACATAAACATGTGTCCCCGGTGTGTCGGGGAACTCACGCAGCGTCAGAAAATAAAACCCTCTCTCTTTTCCTCCGTACCCAAATCTCTAAAAACGGGGCTACAACGGAGCTGATCCAGATTTGCGTCCGATATGACGTAATATCTGAAATGTAGGCTGGCTTTACACCCACGGCCCTATCAGAAACGTTGCTATCGGAAACAATGCCCGACTGTTTTGGACGTAATATGGTCGGTGTTTACATTAGCATCGCTAACACTCAGAGCTAACCTGTACTGGAGAGCATGTGTGTGAAGAAGCAGGAAGTAAAAAGGAACTCACCTTGTGGTATAACCGGCAAGAGAGAAAGCCTTTGAGCTCCATACTGTTTCAGAAATAATCCTTGATAATCCATGATATGGCGTTTCATCACGGCAGAATTTAGTTTAGACAGTAGCTGCCGGGTCCCGCGTGAGCTCAGCCCCCTCCTTTTTTAACAGGCAGTGAAATAGAGGGGTATGAGGCGTGGCTAGAATGGGTGATCAGTTTGGTATTTTGAGCAAAACACTTCATAGACGTGTTTTTTATATGTTTTTATATATCTGAGACCTATGCTATTGCCTAAAAACAGCATGATAGGTGACCTTTAAAGGTTTATCATATTTTACA